CAGTAGCTTCTAGCGGTCTTTTGAGTGCCTCATTTCCAGTTGTCAAACATCTCTAACCCGGAACCTCATCTCTATACTAAGCCTGTGGGTCAAACTTTCCTACATTTCTCTCTTTTTTCTAATTTTAGAAACTTATCTCCCACTCTCTCCGAGGGGTTTAATTTCGTGCGCTAACTTTGCCGGAAACGCCCAATCACGAAACAGTCACGACATTGCGTTGTGATCACGCAATGGGGAGCTTAAGAAACCACGACGGCGACGCCAAGGACAACGCCCATTAAAAAATGAATTCCTATTTCACCTACGAATCTCGCGATACTCTAAAGTCATTTACTTTGTTTATTACTGTCAAAGCTATCACCAAAGTAAATTAGTCACGACATTGCGTTGTGATCACGCAATGGGAAGCTTAAGAAACCACGACGGCGACGCCAAGGACAACGCCCATTTAAAAATGAATTTCTATTTTACCTACGAATCTCGCGATACTCTAAAGTCATTTACTTTGTTTATTACTGTCAAAGGTATCACGAAAGTAAATCTGAAACACAGCGACAAATCTCAAATGAAAATTTCAAAAATTAGCCGTTGTGGTTCACGTTCTCCAGACAACGCAGAATTTGGCCATTTCACGCTGTTGTTTTGCAGAGGACGGCAAAGAAATGTACCAAGATTTATAACGCACGTGCACAGCCATTGTTCGGATCGTAAATCTTTTGTTCGGTGACGTTCCCGTTGCCGTCGTGGTTTTCTTAAGCTCCCAAATGTCCGCTGACCACGTAAAACGTATCGTTCATAAAAGTTTAGTATGATAACAAGGGTGGCAGTGTTTCTGGCGGAAAATCCGTTTCTAATAATAAAAACGTAGAGGAAACGGTTGGTTCACGAATACAGAACACATGGATAGATGCTTCGTGTCATCCATGGACTCCGAAGAAACTCCAAACTGTCCGCTATTTTATCTGGCCTACGAGCAGGCTCTTCGGATGAAAAGAAAGTAGGAAGAAAACACAGGAAGAATTCTTCTTCCCATTTCTTCTCGTTCTTTCTTGCCGTGCGAACCACAATAGACCAATTTCGATATATTAAAATTTAGCCTAAAACAATAGACGTCAGGACGAGGCTCTGGGGAATAAATGCAGAGTTTGTGGGTTTTATTCCCCAGAGCCTCGTGCTGAGGTATATTGTTTCAGGCTGAATTTTAATATATCGAAATAGGTCTATTAATGATACAAAGGCCACACCCCATTTTCAGACCGAAACTGTTCGGGAAAATGTGCCTTCTAAGGCCGTAGCGTATGTATGGGTGGAGACCAGCCCAACTCCCCTGAAGCCTTTCATCATTTATGAACTACGCCAAAAGTTATAGTATTAATACACATATCTCAGCAGTGACTGAACTCAAGCAAATACAAGAAATAATAACGCATCTACTTAACCTTGGTTTTTATTGTAACTGAAAGAAATTCACTAGCGGAACACAACCGCACTTTTTTTTTGTCATGATCAAACGATTGGGCGGGTATACTGTCAAATATTTAGTCCATTCTGCGGAGCCTTCTCCTTGGCTTCACTGTTTATGACTTGAAATTAACCACACTAAGGCTCGTATTAACGCAGCTGCCACTTCCATCCCAGAGAAAGCTGCGAAATTCCAAGATCTGGTTAACAGCAAACTGAGAGACTGTTCTGATCTAGAGGCAAAAGAATGCTGGGACCAGATCAGAGACACCACCCTCGCTGCTGCCATCCAAGCATTTGGCAAGACAAAAACCAGGAGCCAGGATTGGTTTGACGCAAACATTATCACTCTGCAGCCGCTGATAGAAGCCAAGAGAGATCTGCTGCTGGAACACCGCAAGAATCCAACACCTGAAACCCTTGCTGCC